CCAACTCTCAGGGTGTTTTTGTTTTTGTTTTAAAGAGAGTCTTTTCAGTAGCCTTTATAAATGTCACTTCCAATTAGTAAACTGGAAATGATGGGATTTGTCAGCTGTTCTTATACCATCTTACCTCTCGGACAAGATGTGCTTGAAAGATTATTTTTGTAGAAATGCAAGGATGGCCCCTCTGTGAGAACAGTCACTTCTTAACTACACTCTAAAAGGGAATTGGACTAGTTTAAATTAGGTAAAAAGTGTACTTCAGCTCGTGGAAATTTGGGAAACAAAATGCTGCACATGATCAGATCGAACAGTGCGGCTGCCAGAACAGAAATAAGCACATGCATACTTTATTAAATAACAGCCTAAGAATCTGGATTTTGTTGGCCCAGCCAAGAATGTGGTATCTTAGCAATCTATATATTAGTAAGGTACGTTTGCAAAGACTCCAATCAGCTAAGTGATACTGTCTGGTTGTAAGCCAAGATCTCCCTCCCCTACACCCCCGCCCCTTTAGCAGGCATTTGGCTCTTGCCAAAGTTCCTGCATTTTCCTCCTAGCCTGCATAGCTGTAAATGTTATTGATGGCAATGAAGTTATCCAGGCTCTCTGCAGCATACAGCTGTAGCACTTAAAGCCTTAAAATAGTGGTGTTACAGCTCCTTGAAATCTGAATGTGTGTTCCTTAATATAGCAGCCCTATGAAGTGTGGGTAGGCAGGCTGGAGGTTGTAGTCTGTATTGATTCCCTAAGCCAGCCTCCCCCAGATCTAGACTAACCTCCCCCAGACAAAACAAAATAATCCTATAGATGCCTGATGTCTTAAATAAGATCAGGGTGGGTCCTCTCCACGTCCTCTGGAGGATTAAGGGCAAATATGTTATTCAAAAAACATATTTATGGTAATTTTCAACCTTAATTTCCTTGGACTAGGCGGCTCTGTTTCCCAGGAAGGAATGATATGCCTGAAAATCAATTATAATAATGCAGAATACGCCTTATTTATGCAAAGTGTGTGTAATCCTCTCAAATTACAGTCTGGAAAGATGGCTCTTCTGCAAAAAGAAAAATTAGACAATCCTGATATATTTTTTCCTGTTTCCTTCTCCCCATTTTGCAGTTCATATGATCAGTTCTGAAGCACCATTCAGTCACATAAATACAAAATGCAAATATTTCCAAACATTTTGTGTGTCTAAGAGTGTGCAAAACTAGCCAATTCTATTTTTTTTATTTTTCTATGTGGCATGTTCAAAGTGTGATCTGGTGGATTTATGAAGTGGCAGCATGGTTATTTGTTTCACGTTGAAACGCTGCAAAAGGGACTTTCAATTAAAATTAAAATTAAATATTTTAATTAATTAAATTAAATATTTGCTTTTGTAACATTTTAATTTTCTTGTCATTCTGATCTTCAAGATATAAGAGCTGTTTAATATAAAGCTAATAACACAATGAATGTCTTTTAAAGATGAAAACTGTCTTCTGATTCTGAAGAAACTAATACAGGTAGTCCTTGTCTTACAATACTTTGTTTAGTGACTGAAGTTACACAGCACTGAAAAAAAGTGACTTATGACTGTTCACCCTTATAACCATTGCAGTATCTCCATGGTCATGAGATAAATATTCAGATGCTTGGCAACTGACTCATAGTTATGAAGTTTGCAGTGTCCCAGGGTCATGTGAGCTCCTTTTTCAACCTTCTGACAAGCAAAATCAATGGAGAAGCCAGATTCACTTAACAACTCTGTTACTAACTTAACTGCAGTGATTCACTTAACGACTGTAGCAAGAAAGATCGAAGAATGGGGCAAAACTCACTTAACAAATGTTTTGCTTAGCAATATAAATTTTGGATACAATTTTGGTTGCCGATTGAGAGCTACTTGTATCCATGCAAACGTGGGTTCCTACCAGTTCGGCCAAGCATGTAGTAACTCAGCCTGCCACACCCCAAACCAGTTCTATTGTCAGCGGCGCCATTTTTATTTTGGGTTCTGAGCATGCACAGAACAATCTTCATTGCAAAAATTTGCATTCCCCCCCTTTTCTAACGTTCTGCACATGCAAAACATTTTGTGTGCCAAACCAGCAATGCCAGTAGCAACCCACCCCTGTATCCATGTTTTAAAACAGTTTCAAATTTCCTTTCCATATGCAGAAGACAGAGAAGGAACAGAAATTCTTTTTAGGCTATGGAAACCAACTCTGAAAATGAATGATTGCTTAGACATATTAAGTGGAAAGTTGACAGTCCTAGGCCAAGTGTAACCTCTGAGTCTCCAGTACCCACTCTAGAATGATGATTAAATAGTCAGCACTATGGTTCCTCATTACCTTTCAGCCTGTAATGTGAGCCTGGAAATAAACTGAACATTCAGTTCAATCAAAAATATAGCAGAGAACATGAAAACTGCATTATTTTTTTATTATTTTTTTTATTATTTTGTTACTTGGGGTGGTTGTGATAATCCTGATTTATGGCAAAATGTAATAAGTAATCCAGGTATTTTCATTTATATAACTAACTAGATTATCATTTATTAAGATGAATGTAAAACAAAATTACTTGAGCAATCCAGATTGGAACCTGAGTAAGGAGTCCAGACCCTTTACAGCTAATAATTGAATGGTGGATTCATTTTCATTTCTGTTCTTTCATTCTTTTCATGACTATAAATGGCACTATATAAACTGTTTGCAGTTTAAACTGCAAAACAACTAGACCAGTTTGGTCTAGTGATTAAGGTGCTGGTCTAGGAACCAAGAAGCTGTGAGTTGGGGGACTTTGGATCAATCATTCTGCCCAACTTCTCTCACAAGATTGTTGAGAAAATAGGAGAAAAAAGAAGAATTAAGTATGTTCGCTACCTTGAGTTATTTATAAATTAAAATAAAGGCAGAATAAAAAATAAATGATATAAAAATGGTTCAACATCTCATGGCAGAAACCCAAGTTTTTTTGTAGTTGTGTTGCAAATGCACAGATCACAATATTGTATCATATTATTGCAGTGCATATTTCATCATTCTCCTTTCCTTCCTTGTAACTATCTGCATTCCTTTCCTTTTCTTCCCAGAAGGCTGCTAAGAAAATAACAAATTACTTTTAGCAAGTTCTGTAACTATTCTTCTTCTCCTTTTGGGTTCTTTCTATTCCAATGAAACAAGCAGAGTGCTGCCTGCAGGATGCCAATCTCTGTTTTAGGTGTTGAGAACAATTAGAATATGTATGATTGTCATGCTATTTTTTAAAAATGAAATCCTTTGAAGTAATGCTAAACAGATGTTTAAGGCTAAAATATACTAGCTGTCTTCCCTCTTCAGAAGTACTCTTATTTCTTAACTCTTATTTCTGTCTAGAGCTATCAGATGAGTTTGGGGAGGGGAGGTGATCTGCTAAATTTACCAGAGGCAAATGTATCTTTTCATTGGCAATCTACAATGTACTCTGCCAGGTACTCACTTCTCAGTTCCTAATTCCTTGTGTTGGGAGCTGTTTGTATTGTTTTGCTTCAGTTACTATTGATGGAGCATGTGCAAAAGGAAAAAGATGCTTCATTTAAAAATTTACAACCAGTTACCATTCAGGGCAATCTGATTAAATGGCAATTGTGTGAAAAACTTGCAACTTGCTGTTCTTGCAAATGCAGTTCAAGGTTAAAAATTTCCTTTCTTTTTCTTTTCTCTAAATTCTCTTTCTGAAGTAGGTCAGTTGCATACTATTTTAAAAACTATGTGTTGTGCCACTGCAAGAGCATATGATTCCAATATAGCCTAAGCCTTAGGCATTTTCTTATTCCAGATATTTTTCATCATTGCCCATTTTTTGGTTTTTTTCATTATTGTTTTGGCAGAGGTAGTACAAACTCTGTTAGGGGTAGTTGGGGAGTGCTGAACCCCCCCCCCCACTTGCAATTATTTTGTGGCTTTATTTCATTATATTGTCACCTCAGTTTCTCTTTATCCAGACAAATCCCAAAAGAGCAACACATTATGTATTGTTGGGTTTAGTGTTTTAACTGCTCTTTATGAATTGCTTCCAAGTCTACCTTTGTACATATAAGAGTATGGTCAAAGCTTTCCAGGTACAATAGATGTCTGTTCAAAAAATTGTCTTTTAACCAAGACAATGGATTTTGTGAGCAAACCAGTAATTTCCAAGAAAAAGTGCTGTATTTTATCTTATAATAGCCCCTCTATAAAGGAGATGGATGATAGATAATTTCTGAGATGACTGCTAAGACATGGTTGTAGAAGTCATACTAACTTGTAATCAGGCCAAGATCAAAGAGAACATATTGAATGATAAAGCACCTGATTACAGTATGTTCTTTTAGGTGATACTTTATCTGAGAAATGCAAATTAAACCAAGAACGCCTCCTTTTATAACAAAAATGGTTGCAAACCATGAACATAACATGCAGCCCTCAAGATTTCAGTGTGGCTTTCAGAATGTTCCAAATATTTATGTCACATTTTAATTTTTAAGGAGACAGAAGGGGGAAATGATCTAACACCTAGAAAGTATATCCTGTAATTGTATTTAATTGTATTTTAGTTTAAATAAATTATAAATTAGATTAGATTTAATCTTGTCCTGGTCTTTTACAATTTTGAAAATGTAGCCTCTGGTCTGCGCTCAAAAACCAAGTAGGATTCTTGAATGGTTTCAAGGTATTGCCACAAATGTGAATGATTTCACTGTTGTACAACAAACCTTCTGACTAAGAGAAATGTTCCATGCTTATACAAAACAAACACATATGTTGTTTGCAAAACTACCATGGGAACACTTTTGTATTAACTGATGTTCCCTTTAGCGACGTATTTTATTGTTTGCTTGCTGAGACTGTAATGCTGACAATTTCTCTGTATATATTCAAACAAATATAGAATTAAAACTATTCTGTATTTGCATGGTTAAAAACTGCTTCTCTCTATCTCTAATCCCTCTTTTACTTTTCTTGTTTCTCTGCTGCTTCTTTTCTTGGCTCTGAAGTTTGGATGTCAAGCCTATCTGATTCTCCAAAGAAAGCTATAGCAGGTATTGCATTATTTCTGTATGTAAAATTGTGTTTGCTTTTTCTGGGAATGAAGAAAATTAAGTCATTGTTGTAGAAATATTCTAGCAAGATTGTATGTAGTATTACATTTAATCATATCAACATTAGCTGTGTTTGCCTAACAGTAGTTACAATCATAATAAGTAAAATAGTCCTTGACTTACAATCATTCTTATAGTGACTATTTGAAGTTACACTGAAAAAAGTGACTTATGACCATTTTACACCCATTGCAATATCCCAATGGTCACATGATCAAAATTTGGATGCTTGGCAACTGGCAGGAAAGGTTTTTAAAATGAGGCAAAACTCACTTAACAACTGTTTTGCTTAGTAACAGATATTTTGGGGTCAATTGTGTTGTAAGTCGAGAGTTACTTGTAGTCTGCCTTTAAAACCAAAAGTGAGGATTTCTTAAATTCACTAAGCATACAGCAGAAGAAGCAGATAGATTTTTTCTGATTAATCTTTGTTCTAGACAGAGAAAATTATTATCATAATGTCTCTTTTAGATAAAGGTGACTCTGAAAACTAATAGCAGTACTGCATTGTTTTTAAATACACATTCTTGTTATATAATTTAAAAAATGAAACATTTGCTGGAAACTCTCCATTCCCAATCACCTATCCAAAGGAACATGTAGATTTTTTTAAAAAGATATAAAATGGTTGTGATTGGAGCTATGAATTATTCCAATATATGTTCGGAGAAAATTCTGACAAGCATGGTCCTTTTAAGAAATCGCATGACTTGGCTTGAAATTTTTCTTCAGATAGTAAAGAAGGCACACAGAATCAGCTATCCTTGACTTGATCGTAACCAATAGGGAAGACTTAGTAGACAGAATGAAAATAGCAGAAACACAGAGGAGGAGACAAATGCTGGGATTCTTCATTGTAAAGGAAATTAAGACCCTGTTCACACACATGTACACCTTCAAGTCATTACTGACCCCTGGCAAGTCCCTGCAGTTTTCTTAGTAAGATTTTGGAAGTGTAGGAGAATTAGGGAAGAGAGCAGTATGCACTGGCCTGAGAAAGAGCTTCCAGCTAGTGCTTAGTTCCTTTCCTTTACAATCATAAAGGACAAGAACTCTTCCACTCTGCAAAGTCTAGTAATACTGCTAATTGTTGAGCCTATCTCTAGAGATTATTCCAGACAAATTGTTCCACCAACTCCAAAGCAACCACAGACCTCTTATTGCTTAGCCTTGCATGGCTGAATGCCACTTGTATCTCTAGATCACACAAATAAAATAAAGTTGTGTAATTTTGCAAAATACACATGAAAATTAGGGAAAAATGAAATAAATAACTTGGAAGTAGTAGTTTGTAATTTGGAAGACTGCTTCTCTGAATCAAGATGTAGTAACTGGAATATGTTGAGCAAATTCTAATGTTCTTTAGCCAGGAACAAAGTGATCTGCTAGGTTGACTCCAATATTATTTACAAATAATATTATCAAATGATTCATTTTTTTCTTGTAAAATTGTTATTGCTTAATATTTCAGTTTAGGCTGTGCTAGGATTTGCTGATTTTTCCAACGCTATCCAGTGTTTCTTAGTATCAAATACTGGCAGTCGTGGGTAACATAAGAAATCTGTTGCAGGAATCATTACACATTCTTTCATACATCAAAATGTGTGCATCTAAAAATGGCAGTCACATTTTTGCACCCTTTGTGTAAATTTGAGCTTATACAAATTGGGTCTTGCATAATACAGAAACTACTTGTATATAGAAACTTCTTGTATATAAAGAGTATTCCCCCCCCCCCCTTAGTGGATTTTCCTTAAATTAATGAAAAGACTACCATATTTTTCAGAATGTAAGATTCACCAGAGTATAAGATGCACCAAAATTTTGAAGAGGCAATTTTTTTAAAAAAAAAGTTTTTGCACGCTGCAGACCTCCCAAAAACAGCCTGTTTTTCGCGAAAGTGGGCCCTTTTTTTCAAAAAAAAAGGGCATGAATAGCATTTAGGAGGCTTGTAGAGTGTTCCTGGGGCTTGGGAGGGCAAAATTGACCAAAAAACAGCCTGTTGTTTGCTCATTTCTGCCCTCCCCAGCCCCCAGGAGCACTCTAGAAGTCTCCTAAAGGCTATGCACAGCCATTTTGGAGCAGGGGGCAGGGTTTGGGGAAAATACAGCAAAAAATGCTGTATTCAGTGTATAAGATGCATCCAGATTTTCACCCTCTCTTTTGACAGAAAAAGATGTGTCTTATACTCCTAAAAATACAGTAGTTAATAGCTTAGCTTCCATCTATTATTTCCCAATTCTTCTTACATCATGTATGTTTTCTGTCTGATTGTTTTTTACAAATATTTATTTTATTTCTTTTAAAAAACACAAATATTTCATCATTCGTCAATCATTAAGACATTGAAGTACAATTTTTTTGTGTGCCCCTCCCTCCCTCCACTCCCCCAACCCCCCTCCTCCTTCCCCCCCCCGACTTCCCCGAACCCGTACACGGTATGGATTTTTAACTAACACAGTCTAAAATCTATTGAGAAAAAAGAAATAAAGAAATTAATGACATTCTACATTGACCTTAGCTTCTTCTTACTGAACTAACTTTTAACAGTTTAAATCATTTCTGATCTTAAGCATAGGCTAACTGGAATTTCTTGGTCCCGTATTTATTTTGTATATAGTCAATCCATTTTTTCCAGTCTCGTTTATATCTCTCATTTGAATTATCTTTAAGATATGCCGATATTTTAGCCATCTCGGCTAAGTTTGTGACTTTCAATGTCCATTCTTGAATTGTAGGCAAGTCTTCCTTCTTCCAGTATTGCGCCACCAACAGTCTTGCTGCAGTTATTAGGTGCAGAATCAAATTAGTCTCTACCACTGTAAAGTCAGTACATATACCTAGTAAAAATAACTGAGGAATAAACTTTATCCTTCTTTTAAAAATATTTTGCATGACCCACCATATTTTTATCCAGAATGCCTTAACCTTTTGGCAGGTCCACCATATATGATAATATGTAGCATCGAGAGAACCACACCTCCAACATTTAGGCTGTACATTCGGATACATAGAAGCCAACTTTTTAGGATCTAAATGCCATCTATAGAACATCTTGTAAAAAATTTCTCTCAGATTTTGAGCTTGTGTAAATTTCACATTTCTTACCCAGATTCTTTCCCATGTATCCAACATTATTGGTTCTTCAATATTTTGAGCCCATTTTATCATACAATCTTTAACTAATTCTGTTTCCGAATCCATCTGTATTAATACATTATATATCCTCTTTATATGCATTAAGCTTTGATCTCTTATTTGTTTAAACAAGTTATCCTCAACTTGGATAAAACCAATTTTTTGATCTATTTTCCACCTAGCCTGTAATTGCCCATACTGGAACCCTGTCTGATTGTTGTTCAACACCTCTCCCTCCACCCCACCTCTCATTTCTCCTAAATATTCAATTGTGAACTGGGAGAGTGAAAAGATTTTCATGCTGTTAAAAATGCATGAATGATCTGATGTACAAATGACTGATCTGTCTACTGAAATATATTGATATCCTTGAAGATTAATATGTTCTTGGAAAGGGTTGTCTACTTGCTATATTTCTCTCATTATATGAAAGGAAGAAAAACAGTTTATTTTTGTTTACTTCTACCACTATTGAGTTACATTGGGCCTATCTTATTTTCATCTAATTTTGCCCTGCTATACATTTGCCTTGTCTTCTCATTGCAGCTTCCTTACCCTCACCCTGTCATTATTCTTCTTTATTCCCCTTATGTTTTGCTGTTTTGAGGTTTAGAGGAGGGGAAATTTCTCATTCTGAAGGTGCTTCACATGTGGTTGAGACAGAGAATGGTTGATATAGGTTGATGGGGATAAAAAGGAAATAGAATACATTATTTTATAGAATCAAAATAAATCACTAATTTTTAAGTTTACTACTACTAGTAATATTTTGCCTTGGTCCTGTTGTTTTTGGTATGTTATTTCTGGCAACATATGCACCTGTACCCACATATAGAGAAGTAAGTTTTTATCTTCTTGTTTAAAAGTTTTAATAAAAAAAGACATCTTCATTGCATTATCCATGTGACCCAATGAACGTTTTTCTTATTAATATAATCAGTATATAAATGAAGGTTCACTTCAATGTGCATCATATTCACATTTATTTAAATTAATCTGCATTTGATTTTTTATTTACTTACTAAATTACTAAATTTATTTGCCACACATCTTGTTTCAAAGGACTGTTTAATGCTTACAACATTAAAAGCATTAAAGTTATAAAAGATAAATATTTATAAAACAATAAAAATGGAAATTACAATTAAAAATAGAATTCTAGTTAAAAGGTGGGGGGAGCAGGATATATGGGTAGCAGGGATTGCCTCTTAATTCATCAACCACCTCCAGCGTGATGGTCCTCATTGAGGGCCCAAGCTATCTGGCAGTCAAGTTCAGGCCCTTACGGAAGGTCAGAATCTCACCTCAGGAGTAAGATCTTCCAAAAGGCAGGGCCATGGAAGAGAAGGCCCTTCTCCTGGATTCTGCCAGCTGGAATTCCTTGACTGATGGGGCCCACAACATGTCTCCCCTGCCAGCACAGGTGGGGCAGGTAGGATGAGACAGTTCTTCAAATAACCTGGACCTATGCAATGCAGGGCTTTAATAACCAACATATTGAATTGCAACCAGAAGCAAACTAGCAAGTGAGTGCAGATTGTAGATTAGTGGTGTAATATGGCCATCTTAGGGGTCCCAAGAATTGCCCACCACACTCTGCACCAGTTTTAAATGACTATTTACCTAGCCAAAACAGATGCTTCTGGAACTCTTCACAGTCGTTTTTTGATTTTCAGCATTCTGTCGTTTACAAACTTGGCTAACTTACTGCTTATCCTTAAATCAATGTAATTTATAAATGAATCAAAAAGCACCAATTCCAAAACAGAGGTTGAAAGGACTCTATTTCTTACTTCCCTGTA